CAGTGGGTCGCGACGAAGGGCGCGTGTCTTCGTCAGCAGCGGCTGCCGGCTCCAGCTCCGGCTTCAGCCGCAGCTCCAACTCCGTGTCCAGCTGTAGCCAAATCGAAGGCCGAATGTCCAATGCTTATGTAATTATGTGTGTGTGTGTGTGAGTGTGTGGCAGGGCCCAGGCAGCAGAGCATTGCACAACCCGGTTGCAGTTGCAGTGGCAGTTTTTTTCTAATTTTATTTCTTGGGCGCCCAAAACGCGCTGCTTAATGAACAACGGCAGCAAATTTATTGACTGAGCGGCTAACATATTGACTAAATGACTGATGAACCAACTGACGACAGCTTGTGGGAATTGAGTCGTCGACAGGTGATCGCAAGCGCCGACTCGCTCGACTCGCTGCTATTGATTTTTGTTGCCACAGACGGAGCGAGGGGTTGGTGGGGAAAGGGCGAAACACCTTGAATCGCGTCCAAGTAAGGCGAATTCAGGTTGCACCACACTCGAGTGCGATTTGTGGATTTATGGATTCATCGAGCTATAGATTTTATGGATTTACTAAGCATTCGATAAACAATAAACAGACGCGCCTGCGCCTGAACACGGCTACTTGAGGCCACAAAAAAGCAGCCAAATCCAGTGTTAAAAATTTGTTAAATAAATATATACATTGAGAGTTGCTGCTGGATTTGAGTCGGCGACTTTCCTTCTGTTAGGCTCCAATTTAGTCAGAGCTTCTCATTGAAATGTCAACAAAAAGTCAATTGATTTTAAAATTTCCACTGTTTCCGGCTTTCGAGCTTTGCCAACAGCCAAAATAAGCTAGAAGAAAATAGCCAAATCCAATATTACCAATTTCATACAAACATATATACAAATTGAGAATTGTTGCTGGATTTGAACCGTCGACTTTCCATTGAATTGTCAACAAATGAAAATTTCCACTGCTTCCGGCTTACAAACAGCCAAATTAAGCCAGAAAACAGCTGAATTTGTGTGCAGTGCAGCATCATTTCCGCCTGTGCATCGCTTATTAAAAGGCAACTTCTCTGCCCGCTCATGGATTTGAACCTGGCACCGCTGCAACTGGCCGGCCTGCTGCACTTGAACCGTTGATATTTTCAGCTGGCATCTGCTGCTTTTGCTGCTGCTGCTTTTGATGCTGCCCGGCTCTAATGACCCTCGCAATTTATCTTGAACGCGTCAACGGCTGTCAGAACTGAGCGAGAGAAGGTCAACCACTGGACGCCACCAACAATTGTGGCTCTTAATTGGTTTTTGGTGTAGATTTTACTTTATTTGGAAACGTTTCATTACAAAGGTTTCTTTAAAATGTACCCTAAAACTCCGGCGGGTACGTGTGGGGAGAGGGGATTGGCAGCAACTATTCCAAAATTGTTTTGGGCTGTTTTAGGCTTAGAATACTTTGTGTTTAGTAGGTAAACGGATTGGCGGGTTTGTTGTAGTTATAGCCATCGGGACCCAATGAGCCGGCATCCGTCGGCTGTGGCTCTGGATAGGATTGCGCGGGTGGGCCAGGCGGTGCGGGCGGGCGCGGCTGATAGGTGGGCGGTGCGGGTGGGCTAGAGGGCGGTGGTCCGTACTCAGAGGTCGGTGCTGGCGGTGCTGGCGGTGCGGGTGGTGCTGGTGGGCGTGGCTGGTAGGTAGGTGGTGCGGGCGGACTAGAAGGAGGAGGACCATAGCTTGGAGTAGGTGCCGGAGGAGCTGGTGGCTGCTGTGGCCGTGGCTGGTATGTGGGCGGTGCTGGTGGGCCAGCTGATGGTGGTGGGCGCGGCTGGTAGGTAGGCTGTGCTGGTGGTGGCACATAGCCGGGAGTAGGTGCTGGTGGTGCAGGCGGTGCTGGCGGACGTGGCTGATAGGTGGGCGGTCCAGCTGGTGGTCCAGCTGGTGGTTGTGGTGGGCGCGGCTGATAGGTGGGTGGTGCGGGAGGACCAGCAGGCGGCAAATATTCCGCGGCCGGCTGCTGTGGACGCGGTGCCGGAGGACTATGTGGCTGGGGACGTGGTGGCTGCGGCTGTGGCTGCGTTGGTGGCGGGCCATACGAAGGCTGTGGTGCTGGTGGAGTTGGACGTTGGGGAACGGGGCGCGGCTTGGGCTGCTGCGGCTGATCGGGCGGCAAGTATTCCGGACCGGCAGGCTGCGGCGGAGTCTGCGGTGGTCCATAAGAAGGAGCCGGAGCTGAGGGCTGTGGCTGCGGCTGCGGCTGCGGACGCGGTGGTTGAGTTTGCGGTGGTCCATAGGAAGGACCTGGAGCCGTGGGCTGCGGCTGCGGTTGTGGCTGCGGACGTGGCGGTTGAGTTTGTGGCGGACCGTATGAAGGAGCCGGAGCCGTGGGCTGTGGACGCGGTGGCTGCGGTGGCTGCGTTTGCGGCGGTCCATAAGATGGTCCGGGTGCGGTGGGTATCGGTTGTGGCTGTGGTCGCGGCGGCTGCGTCTGAGGAGGCCCGTACGAAGGTGACGGAGCCGTGGGAATAGGCTGCGGCTGTGGTCGCGGCGGCTGCGTCTGTGGCGGTCCGTACGAAGGCGCCGGCGCCGAAGGAGCCGGTCCGGGTATCACGCCGCTATCCTCAATTCCATTGCCCGTGGGCGGCGGCGGAAACGGCTGCGACGGCTGCTTATAATGGTATCCATCCTCCTGCAGATCGGTGTCCAGATGCGAGACATCCGCATAGACGCCAACCGCAGCGAGCAGCGCCGCCAACAGAGGCAGTAAAAGGCGCTGCGAGGGGGAACAACAAGCACAATAAAATGATCAGTTCCCGGAGCGGATTTATGGGCATCCCAATGATGCATAGAGATGCCTGTGGCCACTCACCATGCTGCGAATTCTCACACACAGTTTTTCCGCACAACTGGAAAATGCACGACGAGAGCACACGAAAAATTATTTTTACCGGTTTGGCGAACACACGAGACGCGAGACTCGAGACTCGAGACTGGAGACTGGACTGGAGAGTGGAGCAAGCGAAGCCAGCGACGTCTTCGTTGCAAAATCAGAAAATCGAATGATGCCCAAATGTTCTCCCTTGGCGAATTTATACCGCAGCGGCGGCAGCAGCAGCCCCTAAGCCGGAGCTCAGCTCAATAGATGCCAAATGCTTTTGACTCGGCTTTTTTGAGTCGGGCCAACGAGTTTTTGGCTCAGACTCGAGTCTCAGTTGGACTCAGTTGGAGTCATCGTCGTGATGCTGCAACCTTTGCTAGTTGTTGTTTCTGTTATTGTTGTTATTGTTGTAGTCGTTTCTGTTGTTGTTGTAGTTGTTGTAGTTGCTTGGTAATCAACGGCGATTGTAAGTCAATAACAACGCGTACCAGTTAGTTTTTATTTAAGATGCTTAGGGTTTTTATGCCCCGCACAACGGGTTGGCCCTGGATGGCAGAAGTGTTAACCAGGAACCAGCTGCTTATCAAGTTTGTCATCAAGCAAATATTATATCATATTACCAGAATAGATTACCCGACATTGTCCGGATCCAATTAATATTGTTGCAGATCGAGAAATTTGTCCAATTCGCAACGCTCTGCTGCGGCTTTTTTGTCCTTTTCATATTTTCTTGTTAACTTCCACTAATTTCAATAATGGTTGTTTGTTTTTTAGTTAATTATTATTGCTTTATGCCTTATTAAAAATTAAATAGGCGTTAAAAAATGCTTACTGCCTTTGAACCAAAAACCTCTCGCTTTCTCGTTCGACGCTTAGATACCTAAGCTTTACAGGCTCATTACGTCACGCTTCCAAAGCACAACAATTGTATGATGTATGTTGTATGATACATGATGTATGTTGTATGATGTATGATGTATGAAATATGATGTATGATGTATGGTGTATGATGTATGATGTATGATGTATGATGTATGATGTATGAAATATGATGTATGATGTATGATGTATGATGATGTTGTATGATGTTTTTCATACATTTTAACACCCTTCTCAAATAGAAGTCCGAATGTCTCAAAGTCCCTTCTGAGTACTCCCTTGCGACTCAAAGGGAAGCTTCTGTAAAACGCTCAGCCTCCCAGCTTCGGCTTGTATATGATATATGATCCCTCTTTAAAAAATAAAGTTTAATATATATTTTTGTCTGCCTAAGCCCAATCATAGCCATGTATTTGAATGACAGCGCGTGGGTTGATAGACGTGCGAAATACCTTGCGCATTTGCATATTTTTAGACATTCGCAAATCATCATAAATGAAGCTGGCGGCGGCGATGACAAATCGTGGTTAACAGCAAAATCGTGCCAAAAGAGTTGCTTTTGTCAAAATGGCCGCTGCCTTCTGTGGGGTATTTACTGTTATATATGGCAGTGGCAACAATTGGAAAATCATTTGATTCGACAGCCGCCCAGCTGGTCCATAAATACAATGCTTACAGATAAAATGTCAATTCCAATTAATTAATAAGCCAATTAGCCGGGCTACGTGTTACGGGTTACGCGGCGTATGCGCAATGCGCTGAGCCAGTTTTCAGTCGAAACGATTCAGTTTCTGTAGGAATACCCTGTAAAAGCGGGTAAATGTTTATGGAAGGGTATACATGTGTGTATATGTATGTGACCAGTAGAATCTGGCATATCCATATATATTTAAGTACTATAAAAGATAAAGAAATCAAAAATAATATATAAAACTCTTTCTTATATTCCACACAGAACAATCGATAAATATCGATGTGTAGCTTAGCTTAGTTGACCTTAAGATTTTATAAAAGGAATAAAATCGACAAATATCGATATGCACATTATTTAAGGATTTTAAGAGCTAGAGATGCCAGTATGAAGATCAGATCGAATTTATTTATTTTAACTTTAACGGAGGAGAAAAAAACTGAAGGATTTTTTTAATAAAATTATCTAAAGAAACTGAAAATAGTTTTCTTGGGTCATATAAAACAGGGTATCTGCCAGTCGAGCACTCACACACAGGTTGTTTGTATTTGTGTATTTTTTTATTAATTAACTTTGCATTTTTATTAGTTTTCGTGTTTTTGGCTGTGCTTTGCTGTTGTGTCTACAGGTTTTTGGTGTGTGTTTGCTTTTGTTTTGAATATTTCCATTGAAGTTTTCTTTGCTTATCATTGTTGTGCGTGAAGCACTTACAAATTGTGTTTAGTTGAAATCTTAAATAGCTTTACTTAAGTGTCTAAACATAACAAGCTGAGAAAACCGTCCAGTTATCAGAGTTTATTGCGCTTAAACTAAACCAACTCTATTATTTATTTAGTCAATAACTCGCACATTATAAGTATATTAAATAAAAGATCTGTTCACAATTCCACTAGTTTGCTTTATGGCCTGCCTTTTAAATTGATTAATTTGCTTTTGATTTGTTTTGTATGAATTCGATGCCTAAATGTGAAGCGTTTAATGAGATATTTTGTTTAAAATGTATTTTTTATTAACTTGTTTTGCTGCGAGCCCTAGAAGGTGCCAAATTTTGTTATTAAAATCTAAAAATCCGCTTAACTCGTTTCGTATTATTTACGTTCGTTTATTGTTGCAATGTTGCAATGTTTAACCTTTTAGTTGCCGCAAAATGGCTGCAGCGATAATTCCTCTACTTGCCGCGATAGATCTCAATGATGCGATCCTGGTCGACATACTCGAAGATATGTGGCGCATCCATCAGAATGCCAATCGTGCCGGCCGTGGTCACAATAAAGAAAATGTACAGCTGCAGGCGATCAATGACCATGGCTACGTACTTCCAATCCTCGCGAGTCTGTCAAATGTTGAAAATTAAATCATGAGATACTCGCACAAAAAGTATCTAGAGCTAACCTGTATGTAGAGATCTTCGTTGCGCAGATGCTCGGCTATGAACTCGACCGCCTCGGTGGCCTTGCTGGCTTCGGGGGACAGCAATATAGAGTCGGAGGATTCGCTCTCGCGACGACAGCCGTCGCCCAGGCCCAGCTCGGCGCCGCTGTTCACCTTGCGATTGATCTTGCAGTTGGGATGATGCAGATCCGATAGCTCCATGACCTCCATTTTTGATTGCTTGCCGCCGATTGCGCTGATATGCTTGGGCAGCTCGGCCGGCGAGCCGTACGAGGGATGCGGATGCGCGGGCATGCTCATTCCGGGCATTTCCATCATCCAGCGGAGGCGTGTCTTGCGCGGCCTCTTCATCAGCAGAAAGGCGGGCAAATAGTGCAGGAAGACGGAACGTATCCACATGGGCATGCGATGTGTGCGCGGCCCACGGAAGTTCCAATTGATAATTATGACCGTGACCAGAATGGAGACCGTGTTCATAATGAACGTAAAGAGCAGATACTTGGCAATCAGCGGCAACACCAGCGATGTCGGCGGCAGAATCTTCGAGACGAGCAACAGGAACACAACCAGTGACAGCAGAATGCTAATGCCCAGCGTGACCTACGACATCGAACCGGCTTAGAACCTGAACAAATAACTCAGCTCTAGTCGGCTGCGCCCGACTGGCAGATACCCTGCACCTACCTATCTTTAAGAAGAGTGTGTATATATCGATATTTATCGATACAATGAAAATTGGAGTACATATGGAAAGGACTCTGGACTGAGAGTCTTCTATTGCGAGAATATAGATCTCAAAGTTCAGATCTTCAGCTTTTTACGCTTAAAAAACCAAGCCTAAACATCGATATTTATCGATATTATAATAAAAGGAATAATATATAGAAAGCACTGAGAATCTGTTCCTATGTTTGGTTAACGAGAATATGTATCTCAAACTGAAAATCTCCAGCTTGTGTAGTTTTCGAGATTGTTGCCTTCATAAAGACTGACAAACGGACAGATAAAGAACGATAGTTCAACTCGGCTATTGAAGCTGAATATTTATAATTTATAGAGTCTTCACGTTACATACGTATTCACAAAAGCAATATACTCTTCTTACCCAATTTCCAGTGGGTTCAAGGCATAAAAACCGAAACGAACCCGTGTCAAATTTGAGCTCACCTTTTCGCCAGCCTCGGCGGGCAGATAGAAGACGAGCACGCAGAGAAATGAGATCAGCACCGTGGGCAAAATCAAGTTGACCGTGTAGAACAGGGTTTTGCGTCGTATTATAATGTAAAAGGTGATGTCCGTTTCGGTTGGATGATTGCTGTCGCCCTCGTATACGTTAAGATAGGCGGGCACTTCGATAATATCCCAGGTGCCCGATTTCCAGTAATCGGACAGATCAACAAAGTTCTTATTGTTGTAGAGCGCCAGCGAGACCTGATCGCCATTAAACGTCCAGGAGCCGAACTTCATGATGCACGTCTGCTGATCGAACGGAAAATAGGTGACATCAATTGTGCAGGAGCTCTGATAAATGGCCGGCGGCACCCAGAGCACCTCGCCCGTGGGATAGATGAGCACGTTTGACTTGTAGCGCACCTCGTAGTTGCCATCGGCGCTGGGACACAAAGACAGAAATGCATATTAGTAGCTGGCACACGATTTAAAGACCAAAACCTAAGTACAATTAACATTCAATACAATGCACAATACAAATAGTTATATATATTTATATATATATATATATAGAGAGAGAGAGAGAGCGAGAGAGAGAGAGAGAGGGAGAGTTGTCGAGAGTTAGTTGAGTTAAAGCCATTTACTCACTTATTGAAGAGCACAATGTCCGGCTTCCAAACCTTATCCGGGGGCAGACGGAGCACCCCGATGCCGCCGTAGTCAGCCTCATCCCATTGCAGCTGATAGTCGTACCAAACCAAACGTAGCCAAACGTTTGATTTCATAATTTGATTTTTCTCATTCTTGGTTTCAATTTTGGTTTCAGTTCGGGTTTTTTAGTTTTTCGAGATATTTGAGATGTTTGGTGATGATGGTGGTTGGTTGTTTGGTTGGTTTTGGTGGTTGATTGTAATTTATTTTTATGAATTCGATCGTACGCACCGTATACGTAATATTTGTATATGTATATTTTGGCGATTCAAGCGAATCGGAATCGAATTCAGACAGAAAGAAATATATTTGAGAGAGCGGGTGGGAAGTTTGAAGTTTAAGTCATTATTTTTTGCATTTGTTGTTGTTGATGTTTGTTGTTGTTTTTTTTTTTTTGTAATATAATTTCTCATAATTGTTAGTATATAGGTTTTAGTTTTGTTAATTTAAAAATGCAATGCAATTGTCTTATTTATTAATTAGAGTTAGTATTCGTTTTTTGCTAGGCATGAGGTTTCACTACAAACATACAAATACAAGTCAAGACAACACGTGTGTAATTAAGTATTTACAAAGCATAAACTTAACTGAAAAACGGGCTGGCGGGCCATAGCCACGCCCACTGATCGAACGCATATATTTAACATAAGCATATATATGCATTTGGGGCGTCGGGGGCGTGGCTGTGCAGCAACAAAACTCAAGAATTATTCATGAACAGAACTCGTAAGTACAGTTTTACACGCTACTAAAGTTAGTATCTTTTATTATTTAGCATTAGTTTTTGGTTTTTTTTTGTTTTTTTTTCTATTTGTTTTTAGAAATTTGGATTTTGATTTGATGGGAACACTTACGACATTGATTAGCTGTACGAACGCCAAACCAAATCTTACTCCAACTTTTTGTGTCATATTTTGTACGGGTCGTATGAGTTTATTGTAGCCTCGAAAGAGGTCACGCACCAGGCGCTCTTCGTCTTCGGATGCACTGACTAAAGAAACACACGAAACGAAAAACCAAGGCGCACAAGAAAAAACAAGAAAAAAACGGAAAGTCGGTAAAGCCGGAGAAAAACAAAATGTTTGGCCAAAACAAACAACAGAAAGCACAGAATAGAACGAAGAAGAGTCAGAAAAAAACACACAAAGACGAAACAAATATGAGCAAATTTTTCTTAGTTTTCTTCTTTAATTTTTTAATTTTTTAAATTTTATTTTTTGTGTGGTTTGTATTTTCTTTTTATACCCTGAACCCATTGAAGATGGTTGAAGAGGCCATAATTGTTTTGTGCAAGTGTATGTGACAGTAGAAATTTCTCCCATAAATGTATATACCCTTTCCGTCTTTATATTTGTCTGATTGAAGGGATCGAACTACAAATCCAGAGACTGGTAATTGGAAATCCATATTCTCGTAATGTACCCAGAAGGAATTTATAATTTATGGTTTGATAACCCTTTCCGATCTCATAAAAATCACCTTTGATCGTCTTAAGCACCCCATTAGCATATATATATATATATATATGTTCCTGCCGTCTGTCTGTTTGTCCGAGCTAATGCATCGACTGGAAATTGGAAATCTCTACTATCGTATACCGTACCCGGAAGAAACTTATTAATTATTGGTTGATATCCGATCTCATATATTTCCTTCGTCTGTCTGTTCGTCTGTGTGAATGCGTCGAGCCCAAAAACTACAAATCTAGAGTCTTTTAATTTGAATTAATACCGTAGGCAGAAAGAATTTGTATATATCATGTTATCGATAAATATGGCATTCGATACTTGTTTTCTTAAGCATAGCTCGAAAATTCTAGAAACAAGATATACCAAAATGTTCTCTATATGCTCTCGTATAGAAGATACCGATTACAAGCTTGAGACTTCTAAGACACTTTCCGCAAAATTGCATCGTGAGATCAAGATTTGGGCTCCAAGAATATCGCAAAGGATCGGACTATAGGCACCGAAAATACTCAAGAATACATTTTCCTAAATGTGGAGTGTGTTTATGTTTGCGAATGTATTGAAGGAAGACAGAATGTTTGTAAGGTTCAGGTTTTGCTAGGTTCAGGGTATCTCCTAGTCGGGCACTCCCGACTAGCTTATATTGTTATAGTTCTTGTTCATGTTGTAGTTGTGATAGTCTTTAGTTTTAATGGGCTTATAATGGTAGGCAAAGCGTAGACAGTGTAACACAGATAGAGAGAGAGAGAGAGGGAGAGAGCGAGAGAGAGAGAGAGAGTAGGGGGAGAGACGGAGAGAGAGAGAGACGGAGACAGAGCCAGAGTGGGAGTGGGAAAAGCGCGCAAGATATAGTTAAAGGTTGACACTTAACGCCGATTCTTGAAGAGCTTTCATTTAAATTTCAACTAGGGAAAAAATAAGATGACGAAATGTGAAAGCTGCTCGTTTTGTTGTTGTTTTTTTTTTTATGTTCAATTTTCATTAGTTCAGTGTTTGTTGTGTTGTTTTGTTGTTGTTGTTGTTGTATTTGTTGGCTTGTGATGCGAATATATGTTACATGTATTTGGTTAGAGCCTACGTTGCGTATACGCCGCATGTGACGCCGTTGCATTAAAGTGGCGCACTTTAATGCAAGGACCTCTTTCGAAAAACAGTCCTAGAGCTAGTTACAATAGAGAGTGCCAAACGGGTGTGCTCGACTAAAGGCTGCCCTGCAAAGCTGCTAAAACAAGTTGTAAACATTTAAATGCTACTCTAACTAAATGACATATTTTTGACAGCTACGTTTATCCGACAGCTAAAGGGAGCGAGAGACAGTCAGCGAGAGAGAGCGCAGAGCTCTCTGCTGACAGCACACATGTGCAGAAAACTGGGATGCGTAGGCTGGTATGAGTGTGTGTGCGTGTGTGTAAGGGAGTGTGTGTGTGTCTGTGAAGTCGCTGTCATGACCGGGTTATGCTTGTCTATGTGTGTTATATAGAGCACAAACTGTCTCTGAACCCACTAAACTTGGGTAAAAAGGGTATACTGCTTATGAGCAAAAGTATGTTACATGCAGCAGAAGACGAACGAGTATAAAAAATCCTCAGCTGGAGAAAGAGTTTTGTCAATCTGGCAAGAGACTTCAGTTTGTAGAATACATATATTCTCCTATATATCGTTAAAAATCAATTTTGAGACTTGGCTTTTAAGCATAACTCGAGAATCATAAAAGCTATATACACCACACTTCTTATGTGGCTTGTCTTTAAGTATATACAGGTAAAGAATACTTTATTTTTGTAATATACTCCCAGTTTTCCATTGTAATTGGAAAAAGGCTTATTTATAAAGACAGAGCCTTTCGCTTTGGTATTTACATACATTTTTATGCCATATTTAAGCCTTGAAAATTTTATAAAAATCGAACTATAAACAGCCGAGTTAATCAAGAACGTGTTTCCATAAATGAAGGCAAAGGGAAGGCACATCCAGTTAGCGTCGTGTGTTTTTGTGTTCGGTGCTTGGGGCTGACTGCAGGGTATCTTCTAGTCGGGCACTCCCGACTGGAGCACTTTTGGTACTTGATTTATTTTCTATGGTGCTGGTTCTGGGTTGTTCGAGTTGCAGTTGAGCTAACATATTTAATTGTATGAGCTGGAGCAGGGCTGTGGGCAATGTATATGAGTGTGCGTATGAGTGTGTGTGTGTGTGTGCGTGTGTGTGTGATGGCAAAGAGCTCTAAGTAGACACCATGTTTGGGGGGTTCTTTTCTGTCGCTTGTTTTTTTTTCGCTTACAATTTAACACTAGGCTTGGACTAAGGCTAGATTGGACTGCTCAGAACAGAAGGAGTATGAATTAAGATTCGGCAGTTGATACAGAAATCTGTTTTGCATTTTGATCAACAAAATTATTTCGGTTCATTTTTTCAGTATTTTGTTGTTGTTTTTTCTTCTTCATATATATTTTTTTATTTATTTTTTTTTTTTTTGTATTCAGTTGCTTTGATGTGTATCCATCTGCGGCAGCGCCAAAAATAGGGAGTTTTGCTACGCTTTGCAGTACAAAATTCATAATTATTTTCGGTTTGGGGTGGGGATGGAAAAGATGTTTAATTACAAAAGCAGAGAGTTAGGCTAATAGCGCTAAGTAGGTGGATTCTTATGAGAAATAGTAGTAGTTGCTTGTAGTAAAAGTAGGGGAAAATTGGAAGCATAGAGCATATATAATATGTAGATAGGTTAAGAAGTTGAAACTATGCTAAGGCATTTATATAGAGAAGCTATATAGCTAGCAGGAGGATATAAAGAAGATCTAAGCTGCAGTAAGAGTGGGTGCTAGGAGAGAGAGAGAGAGAGATAGAGATATAGAAAAAACGAGAGAGAGAGAGAGAGAGAGAGAGAGAGAGAGAGAGAGGCTATGGCTACTTTACGAGTATACAAATTTTGAAGAGTTGCATTTAATGATCGGCGCAGTCGTTGGTATCGTAATTTTTTTTCTTTCGCATTTGTTTTTTTTTTGGCAGCGCTGCAGCAGAGCGACGCTTTGGCAAATTCCTCAAGTCTCGATTGTGTGGTTGTACTTATTTTAAATATATATATGTATACTATATACTATATAGATATCAGAAGCTGGACAAAGGCGGCGGCACAGGCAGAGGCTGAGGCTGAGGAGAAGCTGGTGGCTGTGGCTGAGGCTGTGGCTGTGGCTGAGGCCGAGGCTGTCGGGTTGTCGTTGGTTTCTTTGGCTAATGGAAAAACTTTTCGGAATTTGTCAAGGCGTCGCTGCTGGCGCGTTTATATTAAATTTAAGAAAAAAATCAAATCATTGCTGTAAAATTTGTTGCTTGCGCTTTGGCTTTCAACTGGCTTTCAAAAATACACATATAGATATATATATATAGATAGGATTATTGCATAACCTCCCAAAATACATTTTGGCAACTGCCACGCCCCCAACGCCCCCACGACACATACCTTGTGCAATCATTAGCAGCGCCAGGATGCCGCCCAGCAGCCAGGCTCTGGCATTTAAATCCATTTTCTGTGCGTGTTGTCCTTCCTATGTTTATTTAATATGCAGTCCAGGCATAGTTTTTCTTTTCAGTTAAGGTCCACGCCCCGCACTGTCAGCCAGAGGAGAGGAATTTTATAGGTCCGGGAATATTTACGCATCTTTAAAATGTGCACTTTACCTAATAGTTTTTGGCTTTCTGCTGGTTTTCCACAAATTTTCCGCAGCTTTCCTTGGACCTGCACGAATTTTCCAACCTTTTGCTGCGGCAGTTCGAGTGCGGATTAAGAAGAAACTCGAGCTCTGGACTCTGGATAAAATCAATGCGATGCGAGATGCTGATGCGCACAGCAGCCGAGAGGGGGAGAGAGAGCGCAGGCGCTCTCACAGCCACCCTCTCTGTCTTCCTCTCTCTCTCTCTCTCTCATTCTCCCTCTCCCTCTGAGAGAGCGGATAAAAGAGCGCGCGGCACAGTTTGTAAACAAAAGTCACGTTTTAAGGGTTGGCCTTGTCTTTGGCTTCTGGTTCAGCACCCTCCATTGTTTGGCCAGGGCTCAGCTGTTGCTGGCTTTGTTTACATGAAAAGCCACGAACCAGAGTTGCCAGAGTTGCCAACGTCAATTAGATTCTTACACAGTGCGTGGGAATAGTAATGCTCCAATGCGAACGCTTCCTCAATTTTAGTTTGTATTTTTTTTTATATTTATAAGCTGTTTTTTTGAGCTGTTTAATTATGACAAAAAACAACGGCGCGAGGTCAACGGGGAGGGGCATATTATTTGCTACGCTTCATCATTATAGCCAGAAGCTGGCCATTAACATTAAGCAGTTCCTCATGGCGCCAAAATGATATGCAAAAAACAAAATATATCCACATCATAAACTTGTCCCAGCATTTCGTTACGCACCTTAGTTAAACGCTAGCGGAAAGATGATTCGATTAACAGCTGCATTCCAAACATTCGAATATGTTTTGTATTTTTAATTGAAGTAAACAACTGCGAATAAATATATATATATATATATATATTCTTGAGCTGAGTTGATATCAAGATAACCATCTGCAATGTCTCTCAGTTGAGGCTTTGCCAAGTTTTATCTTTCTGTAAACAAGTCGGCGCTGTCCAGATCGAACTGCTATATCATATAGCTTACATATGTTTGTTTATCAGGATATCCCAACCAGACCTGGCTTGCTTTCCACATAGGAGATAAATCTTGGCAACAACAGACTTCTATATCATATAGGTAAAGTATAGATAAGAGCATAAAGGAAGGGTATTTTAGCTTCGGTTTTCTAAATACATCGATTCATTCTTATTTTTCCCTAATAGCCGCACAATTATGTAAAGTGTTTGGCAATAAAAGCCATCAATTCTCCTGATTGGCTTTTAATTACGGCTGAAATATGTTTTTTAAAATTACAAGAGAACCGAACGGGCAGAGCCGGGTGACACTTCCGTGAGCGGGGCGTCAAGAACAATGGCAAATGGAAAAACTGCTGAAGAAATAAATAAAATACAAGTAAATAAAATAAAAGTAAATAAAAATGATATCTTTATGCATGGCGGAGCTGTAAAGCCGCGTGTGAGACGTTTGGTAATGAAAGCATATTTTTGCATTGTTGATGCCTGCGGCTGCTGCTGCTGCTGCCGCTGATGATGATTTTCATATGCGCATGACAGCGCAATACAATGCAAACGAAAGACTCAGGCCACGAACGTGCAGCCGCATACAACAAACAACAACAATCAGGTATGAGCCAGAGCCAAGACAACTTGAGGAGAGAAGAAAAAAAAAGCAGCTAAGGTCGCCGGCGCGCATAAAAACTCAATTTTTAGCCTTTGTTGTAGTTGGCGCAATTTGGCTGCCTATTTGGTGTCAACACACATCATCACCCAGTCACAGTCACAGTCTCTGGCTGCAGTTGCAGTTGCAGTTGCATTTGCGATAAAAATCGATGTGGCGAACGCCAACGCAAATTACATGATATTAATTTTTGTATTTTCATCAATTTGATACTTAATTATTTTGGCTGCATTCAATTGAAACACTTTTCGGGCAGCTGTGCACCGCATTTCAAGGTTGCGACGTGCCTCAGATCTCCAATCTACGAGATGGCCTACAAAAAGGTAAAAACATTAACACACATCTATTTGCTAACTGACTCAACAGCTGGGCGTAGCTGGGTGTAGCTTTACAGTTATGATTTGGCATACCTAAGCAACCTATTTGCTTGCTTCCATTTGCCTGAGCCCATTTGTCATTGGCTCACAAGGGTGAATTGCTTATGTGCAAAATTGTGGAACAAACAGCAGAAGGTAGGTCTGATGCCAAAAATAGTATATAGTATACTTGATCTGAACGAGGAGATATACCGAGCTCAGCTATGTCCCTCTTTATACGCAGAATGATTTATCGTTTTACTTCAATTGCATATTCCAATTAATAAATTTAAATTATTAAAATTAATTAACTATCGATAAAAATCAATTTCAAGACTTGGTTCTAGATACAATATAACATAAAGATAGAGTCTGTCTTAAAGGTAGAGTGATTCGTAAAGGCAATTCATTTTATGGCATGCCTAAATTTCAGCTCTAAAAATATCATAAAAATTGTATAACAATTTCATAAAAATTTCATGAAAATGTCATAAAAGTTCCATTCCAACTATAGACTATCGAAACAAGTAGACCTTGAGACTTGGTTCTTTATAACTCGCTAATTATATGTGCTAGATATGAAATAACGAATATCGATAGGCTCAGTTTTCTTGCAAAATTTAAGCTCTTAAAATTTCATAAAGAACAAGAATACATTACCTATAGATAGACCTTTAGATAGATAGCTGCATAAGGACCTTAGCTTGTGCATATTCATAGCAGAAAGCAAGTATCTTTCTAAGTGCAGCTTGGCGCCGGGTTCAGGGTCCTTGTTGACAAATGTGCTTAAAGTATTTTGTCAAAAATTGAATTTGTGACAGGTACTTGCTTTAATGGATTGCTTAATTATTTCGTTGAGCATCCGCTTGGGTTTTTGTGCTTTTAAAACACAATTAATCATAAATGAAAGACATGTGAGGGGGAGGGGTGGCGTATGCATAGATGTTTGCGCTTCATTCTATGCAAATTGTGTGTGAAAATAATAATTATAATTCGCGTAGGTAAATGCCAACGTAATGTGATACCATAAACATTTAGACTGTGGCCTTTGTCTTGCGTGTGTGTGTGTGTGTGTCTATTTGCTTCTCATAACTAAATAAATTAATTAGCCATGGCAATTTGAGTCGACGCTGTATACAAATCACTTTAATGAATCTGTGTTAATTTTTACACCAAAGATTCTTGCACACATGCTAAAACTTTGCCACCGCAGAAACACAGTACATTTATATATATATATATATATATATTATAGATATGTATTTAGAGAGAGAGACCAAAATGAGCAACTCACCGAAAATTGCACAATTAGCAAAAGTCTGCTGCCAGTTGCCGCTGTTGGGCAACATTAAAAGTCCTCAACCATATTAACACTTTGGGCAATGTTTTGCGGCGCGCCGCAGCGCTCAAAATTTGTGTCAAACCCAACAACAATGATCGAAAATCATGCAGCAAAGCGCACGACTGAAAAAAACTAACAAACAAAAAAATGAAAAAGCAAAAAAAAAGCCAGTCAATATACAGCACAGCACATAAATCGCACACGATTTGACACACGTTCAAGATGTTTGCATTTTGCCAGCTGCCGGCCCGGCCCCATTTCGGGAGCAGGCCAATGAGGAAGTGCAGCAAGTGACACAAGTTGGCTGCCCCAAGTGCTTCCTCATCTGCGGCACATGCCGCCGCGTTAATAAATCCCCAAGTGAACGCCATTTTATAGCCACCTGCCAAAATAAATCGGCTGCAAATAATGCTGCTGCCTGAAAGTAGGCAACACCTTTTGTACACTCAACTCCGACGAGGCGCAGGAAAGTATGGCATGGGAAAAACTTAAAATATTATTATAAATTTATAAGCTATTCATTTTCAGAGAGAATTATCTGGTGTGTCATGGGTCAAATATGACGTTGACACTTTTTTACATTTAACTCAGACCTGGCGCAGGAAAGTATGGCATGGGAAATACTTAAAATAATATTGCAAGATATTCTATATATATTTCCAGAGGAATTTTCTATTTCTACTCTATGATATTTAACGGAAAATATGTTATTATTTGAATAAAAAAAGACTGTTTGAGGTCCACAAAAGAATACATATTAAATCAATACATATAAAGCACAAAACAAAAAAAAACAAGGAAATATTTAGAATTTCCGTCTCAACTTTTTTGACCCGAAGTCTTTGTCAGTTATTCTAATGTGGAATTAAATAAAAATTGTTTTACTTGTGAGATATTTAAATATCTTGTTATTTCCTAAGCACTTTTTTCATTGAATTTATATGCTATTTCCACACTTAGCAGTATTTTAACCTTTAGATGTCGCTGCCAAATGGTGGACTTTCAACTGTCGCAGAAAATCTTCAAGTGCACTTAACCTTACTGCAAAATAATTCTAGTTTCGTAGTTTTCATTGAAACTAGAATTTCTTAGCGAGAAATAAACACAATTTGACAGCATTATATCCAATATGCACTCTTGAGTCAATTTACTCTAAATTTGAACCGTCGACCGCTCGCTTTCTGGTCCAACGCACCGTTAAAGCTGACAGATATTGTAGATTTTTGTAGTCTGAACTTTCTAAAATTGCACTTTCGACGCAAAAGGTAACTGCTGTAAAAATTACTAACCAGATTGATTGATCAACAATCAATCAATCAGTCAGTCAGCACAAAGAGTTTTACATATATATTAAATTTAATTAGATTTATATTAAATTTGACGCAAAATGCTTGCAATTGCAATTTTCTTTTAACTATGAGCGAACAAAACTTCGTTGGTACATTTGTATTTTATGCAATAAAAACTATTTACAAAACGCGTGAGACCCCAAAAAACACCCAACCATATCCATATGCCATGCTCCTCTTCCCATGTCAATCAATCTGTCCCTTGTGCGCTATGTAGGAGTCGTAGAGCGTCGATTGCTTGCGTCGCTTCAGCCGGGAGCAGGCCATGAACAGGGTGACCGCCAGAACGCAGAGCAGCGCCGAGCAGCTGGCGGTTAGGGCAGAGAACGTGGACGTCTTGAGGCAGGTCTGGTGCGGCAGCTGCGGCTTGGCCCGGCGCTGCGCATAGACATCGTCGCCATCCGACTCGCCCTCCTGCAGCACGCGCAGCGACTGAAACAGATTTACGTTCTCCGACAGCGAAGCCTGCGCCGGACTCTCCGTGCCATCGACGGCCGCATTCGCCAGCGGCGGCAGCGACAAATTCGTGGCCGTCATGTTGGAGGTGTCGCGCTTGGTAACGGCCTTCAAGTTGCGCCAGTGACACGGCTGACTCTATAATGGAATAATAAGTGAGAGTGGATCTTCAACCTACTCCGTCTACATTCACTTACCGGACAACGTCCATGGCACATACGCACATCGCACTCAATATACAGCGCCGGGGAGCCGGTGAAGCGGAAGGTTTTCATATACGCATAGACCTGCGTCTCAAAGACGCCCGCATCCGACCAGGAGCCTCTGAAGCGCGAGATGAGCTTGTCGTCCACGGGACAGCCCTGCTGATCGATCAGTTGAATACGCTTGTTGGCGCCGTTGTGCGCATAGCAATCGTTCACCACAATATCAAAGCCATCTAGAGAGGCACAAAAAGATTTAACAGGTTTAAACATAATAGTTAGTTTGGGTATACTTACCATATTTGCTTCTCATGTAGATGATCAGGGTCAGGGGATCGCCCACGCGAACTGGTCCGGTCACGCGTGGTCCACCAATTCCATAGCCATTCTGGATTTCCATATAGCACTCTGGTGGACTCAGGGTAAAGACCACAGGGTTACCAGTTGCCACTCTGTAAATAGTAGGACAAAAGATTAAATAAAGGTACCTTCAAGGTAAGGTAAAGATTCATTCAACTGTAGAGAAGTGAAAGGGCTCCAGTCAAAAGCAGCCGGACTGAAAGATAATCGACTAGGGGATACCCGGCTGGTAGATACCTGACTAACTAACGAAATTCCAGACTTAAAGATACCTGACTGAAAGCTATCTTGATTAAGAGATTAACAAGGAAATAGCGATTAGTAGATGCATGACTAAGGATCGCCTGAATAGGCATTAGCCTAATGGAAGACACCTGACTGGAAGATACAAAAACAACTGCATCATAAATAAACTAGGAGTTACACGACTGGCAAATACCCAACTAGAAGATAGACTAGTGACTATCTGAATAAAAGGTGCCCGACTAAGAGATACACGACTGAACATATCCGACCAATAGACTCTCAGATTTCCCAACTAGAAGATGCCCGACTAGCTTCAACAATCTAACAATAAAAATGTTTCCCAAGCTAGGCTAAATGGGATGAATTATAGGCAATTAATGCAAGAGGTGTTGTGGCAAATCTAGCTCTTACAGAGTCTAAAAATAATGTCATGGCTATATAGACTCGGCTGTATGATACTTATACTTACTCAACATCCAGAAAGGGAAACGTGACAGTCTTCCAGAAATCATAGCCGTATTCGCAGGTGACCTTAAAATGTTCATCGTACTCCTCCTCAATCAAAGGATTATACTGCACCGTGACCGTATTCCACATGAAGTTCTGCAAAGGAATATATATAATGATAAATTAAGATCACATGGCAAGGATATATCAGGCATACCGTGGGATTCTTGCGACTCTCCTCCTGCAGCGAATTCTTGCCCAAGGTGCCGCACCGATTCAGTTGTATATAAAACTCGTAGTAATCCCTGCCAGAGCCATTGATGTACATGCAATCCGGATCGTAGGCATAGCCGGCGGAGTAGAGCAGTCCACTAAACGAGCCATTGAAGCCAATACGGATTTTCATATAATCATCCTGGCACTCGGCCTCAATGTCTGCAGGGAAATGGGAAATAAGTGAGGAGCTGCTGTTAGATTCAAGAAGGAAGCTTACGCTGTACTCTGGTGCTGTTGTGCGTGTGCTGTTGCCCGGAGTAGTCCGGCTCCCAGTACTCCTCGTGCCACTTGTTGGCCTCGTATGGCGCGGCATGGTAGCCCGCGCTGCCTGTGGGCGCGCCGCTCGAGTCCACGCCCGTCGAGCCATACTCCAGATGCACCGGATGTCCAATGCGCTGCGGCACATAGCCAGACGAATCGGGCACATGGTCGGGCTGGATTGAAAGCACTTTTAATAGCATATGATTAATCATGACTAGAGTCCAAGTCGACTTACCACCTCGTGCTGCAGTCTGTTGCGCTCGACGGCGAGGCTGCTGCGATTGCGCACATCCTTGGCGAACTTCTTTGGTGCCGGCAGTCCGGCGCGCTTGGCCAGCTTGGACGGCTGTGTGGTGGGTCCCGAGATGTACGACTTGGCGGAGAGCGCGGCCACCAGTTGCTGCTGCTCCTGACGCTTGCTGCTCGCATTGCGCGGCGTTGTCGTCTGCACGCGACCCTTGAAGCTGCGCACTGGAGTCGCAGCTGGGGGCGGGGCTGCTGGCGGGGATGTGGTTGTGGCCACCGCAGCTTTGCTCACTATGGAATTGTCTGTGCTCAGCTCAATGCTCCAGCTGGGCTGTGGCTGCTACAAAGAGAGAGGGGGAGAGAGAGGGAGAGAGAAAGATATGCCATTAGCAAATGCGTTTGGCTTGGATAAATCATGCCAGTTTGTGTCTTAAGTCTTTCGTTTAAAACTGCTGCATCATTGATTAAGAAATGGCCAGGGGGCAACATAATTTTGCCAGCGCCACATCTTCCGCTCGGCTCTCAATTGTGGCCGGGGAAGCTACGCAATATGGCTGGGCATATCCGTTAGACGGGCAAAAGATTGGCCAACGATTGGTTACGGTTCATGTGTCGGGCTCCGACTCCGACTCTGCTTAGCATAATCAGGAAGTTCATTCTTAGAATGCGCTGTTTAACTGTTAAATAGATTAGTTTTTCCAACTGATTCGCTTTGCAGCAGCAGCTAAACAAAAGACTTAGGCAACAAACTTGCTTGGGCAACAGTGAAAGGCAACAGTTAGTTCTTAGCTCACCTGCAGCATCAGGCAGAACAGCAGCAGCAGCAGCAACAGCATTGATTGGCCCGCAAATCTGCACCGATTCATGTCTCGCACGCAACTGACAACTGCAAATAGATAAATATTCAATATAATCATCTAACAACCTTGCCGGCGGCCAGTCAAGGGTTCTTTCTGTTCAGCCTGGCTGGATGCGTGGCGGCCGGCAGGAAGTTTGTGGTTCATAAATTAATTATGGTCAATATGCGAGAAGCATAAACAAGACAAGTCGCATCAATGTCGCCCCGAGAACAATGGCTGACAATGGCTGCCCCAGCCCCCGCCCCCGCGTCCGTCTCTGTCGCCTTGTCGGGCGTTAAGGTCAAAGGCATAAAACTGAAAAGCTGACAGCCGCAGCTTTGCCTTAATTAATATTATTATTAGCGACACGCAGCTAGAACCCTTCTTGGCTGATTCTCTCTATTTTAACTTAGATTACATTTTAATGAATCACTATGTCTCCTCCCCCTCCCCCTCCCCCTGCCCACCTCACCGCAGTTTACCTTGCCAGCGCCCACGCGGAATGGTTGGCTGCGTTTTAATACGTAGCTGTAAAAACGCACGCCGTTTGCTTAATTGTTGCTGTTAATACCCTGCAAAAGGGTATATTTACTTTGTCGCACAGTGTATATCGTCTTGATCGTCCTTCTGTTTATATGATTATAGGTATATCTATTGGGATAAAATTATATACGGCTTTCGTAGGAAAAGATGCATAGAAATCAAAGTATATATATAAAATATTTATATGCAGCATGTGGATCAAAAAATATCTAACTTTTACAAGTCTTATTTTGCCCCTAATATGGGTCTTCCTTAGCATAGTATCATATTATCATATTCCAAAATATTTTAATCAAGCTTTGCTATTAGAAGTTTTACTGTCCATCTTATCATATAAATATTGTCTTATCATATAATATACCATATATCCCATTAGATCATATCATATCATATATCATTTCATATTATATCTATCATATATCATATCATATCATTTAATATCATATCATATCATATCATATCATTCAAATCATATAATATCATATCATATCATATCATATCATATCATATCATATCATATCATACCATATCATTCATATCATATAATATCATATCATATCATATCATATCCCACCATGTCTTATGCTTTTATATCATATGCTAATAAATCAAGTCATATCCAAACATATCATATCTGATTTTTATTTTAAAATTTTTAAAATATTTGCCATATGTTTGCAAGGGTGTTTAATCTGCGGCTCTCCAAAATGGAAACTCTTTCTTCTTGTGATAATTACTTTGGCTCGCAGTTTGTTTTGTTTATTTGTTGGTTCGGTTCGCTTTGGTTTTACATCTGTTATGCAATGCTCTAGACACTGTTTTTTTCTTTTTTTGGCTTTGGTTGCGGTTTCGGTTTTTGGCTTTCATTATTTTTATTTCTTTATATATTTTTTTTGTGTTGCTTTTTTTTATACTTAGTTTGTTCGCATTGCTGTTCTTTAACGGCGGAGGAGCAAAGCGTGGCCGTTGGCTTATAATTATATTTAATTGTTGTTGCCTGACCTTGAGCCGTTTGTGTTTCGCTTCTTACAACAACATTCACCTACAATGCTAGCAATGCTAACGGTATCTGCACGTTATGGCCATAGCACGCGTTTATCATGAACCGTTTCGAGCAGTTGACAATTCTTTAAACTGAGAGCCTTTTGCGGTTTATTGACCGCAACACTGAGGTAATTTGAGTTATTTACTTAGATTAAAATGAAGATCGAGTTGGAATAGAATCTAAAAAGTTACTAGATAAAAGAAGAGCCCAAACCAAAGAAAGGGGCAAGCTGACTAGCGGGACTAGCGGGTCGCTGGTTCAAATCCTCTACTCTAGTTAGATAAAATCCCAAGAAAGGGCAAGCGTCAAACTGGCAAGTGGGAGGTCACGGGTTCAAATACTCTATTATATTTAGATAAAGTCGAAGGCAAAATATGTTGAAGGCCTGAGCGCGTGGTAAGAATTAAAGAGGCACTTTTTCTCTCTAAAGCAATCCGGAATGGCACAAACATATTCCGTAAAATTAAATTGTTTACATTATTAATTTGGACATAGGTTAATAAAAGATTAAATTACAATACTAGGACTACCCTAATAATTGGTTTGTATACAAATAATTGGTAGTTAGTGGATCAACTCTTAATAAAAAAAATGAAAAATGGGTTTCAACCGAGTTTATTTTTACATAAAAGCGAACCTTGCACCGGACCAAAAAGGTTATTCATAAATTTAGCCAACCTTTATTTGAGTTAAAAAATAGTTTTCTCAAAAAATGATTTGGTTCCACAAACTCGTTGAAGGAAGAATATAATTAAACGTGATAATTGCAAGTATCAAAAATTGCGACAAGTAATAATCATATTTTTGAGATAAAAGAAGGTTCGATAAGAAAAACATATCTATATGAATGTGTAATCACAAGCTCTGTGAAATTCGCTCGATTTCTGAAAAGAAGCACCAGTTATTTGCTTACCTTATTTATCTGCGACTTCCTCTTGGCCTGTATTCGCTTTTTGCCCGAAAACTGACCTGCTCCAAGCTTGATGCGCCCAAAATGTTAATGGCCTTAATAATAGCTAACACACACACACACACTCAGACAGCACGCACTTTGACCAACTGACATGAAAAAACTTGGCCCATTTTTTTTTTTGGTGGGGGTATTTAACAAATCCTCTATAAAAGTTGACGAGCCGTGCCCAAAATAAAGACAAAACGTTAACAAAACGCTTGGACGTAGGCTGCGTTTTTTTTTTTCACTCGCACTTTCCGAATCCGACGAACCCGAATTTTTAATGCCTTTTTGCTGTGGTATTGCGCGATTTTGTTATGCCCCGATATTTTCTACACCATTTATGCCATTTAACTGTCTGGCTTGCTTTACATGTTGCACGTCTGTTAAAACTTTTGTTAGTTTTCCGTCTTTTTTCCGTCTTTTTTTTTTTTTTGGAAGCCCGAAAAATCACTCAAGTGCAACTTGCCAAATAGAATCAGCAGCCGGGCCGCAAAGCGTATATGTTGTTGGCGCTAGCGATTGCCTAACATTACATAAGAGCCCTCCTTTATGAACTGTCTAGCTCGAATTCCGAATGGCTTGTACTCAGGTTCCGATGTGTCGGACGGTTGTTGCCTGGTTTGCAGTTGGCCACGTTACGCGCAGGTGTGAAGCGAAGCGCGGCTGGCGCAAATCTTTATAGAGTTTCAGCCAGCCCAGGCCAGGCCAGGCCAGGGCTTAGAAGCTGAGCCGAAGAGTCGACCACCATGTGAAACCATGGGCAGATTGTTGTGAAAGAAGCTGCCAGCCTATCTGGCGACCTGGTCTGATCTTCAGAGTCCGCCCAGCTAACAGCTTTATCTGCATTTGCTGCTTTACTTTCGTTACGATTCGCCGTTAGTTGCCATTACACTTAGAGAAAAACGCTGCTCAACATAGCCTGAGAATCTGGGGATTTAAATAATAAAAATCTGAAAGCAAGAAAAAACTCTCTTAAAGCAAAAAATGTCCCTAAACAATTTAGAACGCAGGTTATTCTAAAATATTTCTTAATAAAAAATATCTTAAATTGAGCATAAAATACTTATATTAAGAACTTGCATACTTAAAATATGACTAAAAGGTTCTCATACGACATACAAATATTCTTAAAGCAAGAACTTTACTTAAAAGACGTCAGGAACAATTCGTTTTATAATATTTCTAAAGCACAAAAAACTGATATCAAGAATTTGCATAATAAAATGCTCTGGAAGTTTAGAAAATTTGAGAACTTTGACGATTTAAAACACATTAAATTCTCTTCTAAAATATTGAAAGAAACTCAAAGTAAAAGTTTCAAATTAAGCACCAAAATACCTATTACAAGAATTTGTAGGCTCAGAAAAAGCCTAAGACATTCTCAGACGAAGCAGAAATTTGCTTAAATTGAGAACGTATATTGTGAATTTTAAAGCAACAATTTCTGAGAAGATTTGTACTTAATTGAAACACAATATTCTCGATATTTTCTCTGAGTGTATATTGCGAAGCTTTGAACTTAATTTAAGTAGAAAATTCTTGATATTTTCTCTGAGTGCATATTGAGAAGGTTTGTACTTAATTTAAGCACAAGATTTTTTTACTCTTTTCTCTAAGTGCATGGCGGAAGCGCAACAGGAACGGGTCTGAGCGTGTTGCATACCTGCTACTGCTGCAATTTCTACTGCTGCTGCTACTGCTGCTGCTGCTGCTGCTGCTGACCCATTACCTTTAGCGTCAAGGTCAACGGCACCTAACTGTAACTGGTGGCAGCGCACATTTAATTGGCCCGTGCAACATTGCAGCAGACGTTTACCAAGCGTGTCTGCGTTAAAATACAAATTACTAATTAGTTAGTTAACACTTAAACGTTAGTTAATTAAACGCTCTGCTTTTGGCCCTACTCGTGGTAAGTTGTGAAAGGCGCTCACTCCGAGCCTGACCCTGACTGCGGAGCAAGGGCAGCCCAGCCACTGTGACCAAACCGAAACTGACCCAATTCATGCGCCAAAATATGCACTCGATGATTGATCATCATTTAATTGAATCTTTACAGCATGAAATACTTTAAGATTGGGCCAAGAAAATATACGCTTGTTTGTGCAAAAGCCAGAAGGAGGACAGCATATCTTATAAGGTATATAGTTTGAGATATATTACTTTAGTCAAAACTCGAAGATTAATTCAACCTAAAACCAACATTTCAAGCTCTTTTAATCCTTGAGTTTTGATTAAGGAATCACATCTTAAATTAAGTTTCGTTGTGCATGTAAAT